GCCAACTCAGGAGATCTCAAATATACCAGATTAGAAAGTAGGGGTGCATTTGGGACCCCCAACCTTATCTACCCCATGCAAAGGTCTAATAATCAGCTACTATCAATGCTCTAAACTATTTATTTATATTCAAGGGAGTTATTTTGTGCATTTGCAGCAAGTTTTTCTTCTTTCACAGTTATTGTTCTTGTTTTCCCAGTAAAAAAGGATTAAAATGTAAAAAAGGTGTATTGTGATCCTATTACAATTGTTATACAGAAAATATCAGTATCGGTCGATATTGGAATTGGCATGTTATCAGCCAAAAAACTGTAACCAGTGCACCCCTAAAACGGAGATCCTGTCACAATACAGCTGAAGCTAAAAGTGCAACACTTTTATATTTAAAGCATTGGGAAAATAAAAGTAGGAGCGCAAGAAATATGTAACAGGGACTTAATAGGAACCTTTCAACAAAGGTTTCAGTCCAAGTGCAAACATTCGTAAGAAACAATTTAACACAACCATTACAGGGACCAGAACCAGTTAAAAAGGGGCAATGACCCCAAATGACCCCCATGTAGGGAAAGAGGATACTTACCATTAGTTGTTTTCTTCTTTATCAATTAATTAAGTTGTTTCAAAACTGCTTACCTGACACAGACTTTTGAAACAATTTTTTTTAAAAGTGCTGATAAACTGTGTTTATCCACCCTTATATTTGCATTTTTATTTTCACATTTGAGTTTTATTTTACTCTTATTTGGTCAAGTCATTGCCATTATTGGAAATTGGTTGTTTGAGCAACTGTCACAGTCTTGGTTCTGTTGTTTTCTTTTGAGTATTCAGTTTTACTTTGCTCCATTTTCTCTGGTTTTATTGGTTTAATTCCTATTTTGTTGTGTTTTCTGTATATATTTGAGTTCTTAGGGGTTTATTTGTTGCCCTCCTTTGCCCTCTTGTGTTGGTCTCCTTTTCCCTAGCTCCTTTCTAGTCTCCTCTCTTCACAGCTGCTCCCAATCAGCTCATTAGTCCTCTCTTTGTTCAGTCTACTATAAATACTCTCCTTGTGCAGTTCCTCAGTGCTGGTTCCTTGTCTTACCTCGTCTTACCCTGGCTCCTCATGATTGTTTTCCCTGATTCTGGTTTATTTTACATTTTTCATGTTGGATTTTTGGATTCCTGCCTCAGTTGTTCAATTAAACCTTCAAGAAACTCATCTCTGCCTCCCTGCCTCTGCATTTGGGTCCTCTAACCTCAACCAAACCCTGTCAGTAGTGATGTCATAAGATGAGCCGAGGCTTCGAGGCGTGTGTCAAGTAATGTAAGGGGCGTTTCCCCGAAGCTTGTGTCGAGTCCTGATTCATTTAGAGGAGGGGCCAAAACTGATGACGTCCGAGGCCTCGCTAACATGATATCACGTGACCACTTCGGGAAGTGGTTCAGAAAGCGCAAGAATTTTGACAGGCATTTAAACAGCCTCAGTATTCAGTCAAGATGTCAGAGTTTGTAGGAGAGTTGCTGTCAGTTGGCGGGAGTTTGGATAGATCCTGAGAATAGATTGGTTGGAAAAACAACCAATCTAGTTGCTTAAAACTATTTTGGTCAGAACATCTGAGCAAGCCATCGGACACAGTTGTAACGCTAGTGTTAAGTAGTATTTTTTCCACTGGGCAAGTAACCAAATAAATGGTGTCCTCTGTAAGACACAGAATCCCTCTCCTGAGGTTGATGGTTCAAGACCCACCTTTAGCATTTGAAAGTTTTGATTAAATTTAATTATTTTGGCTAATGAGACTAATTAGCACTGGTTTGCTCTAGTAAAAATATAGATTGTGTAAAAGCGCTGCCAAATTAGGTCAGTTTATTATGTTTGAATAAAAATGACTAGGACCTTTCATTTTGCTCACCATTGCTCAATTTGTACACACACTTTCACTGTCTGCTTGAGCTTATTTCACTAAAATGGCAGAAAAACAGTGCACCTTAAAAGACATTTTATGCTTTAAAAAAAACTTTAAAAGATTTTATTATACACACCAACCATTAAAAATTTCAAAGGAACTTAAAAGGGAAAAAAAATAAAAACAATTGCAAAAAATCACATATTTCATTACAGACTGTAGTTATGCATGTTCACATGGGGCTTCATGAACTGTGGGGATCGTTGAAGCAATTTTGCCAAACGGTTCAATGCCTCATGAGGCTTCATCTAACCATCACTACCTGTCAGCAGACATCCCAAGTCTCCCGAAAGTTCTGGGAGTCTCCCTGATATGGATAGTTGTTCACTGATGCCCACGAGTCAGAAAAGTTATCCCAGATTTTAGACTTTGCGAGGTGGAGATTTTTTAATGCGAGTGAGAGCATGCAGGCAATACAATAATTCGTGCACCATGTGCGAATTATAGAACTACTTCAATTGCGCTGACAACAAGAGAGAGCGGGGTGTGACGAAGAGGTTGCTTGTGAAACTTGTGCAGCGTATCTTTCAAAAGAGATTGATGCTATGTTCAACTGCTGATTGGATCAGTCCGATAAGTTTCGGGTTACTCTCTGGCAGTCACCTAGTTACCACTCAAAGCTGTGCATCCTGTGAAACAGCAGAGGTTGAATTTTCGAGTAAAAAAAAATGAAAATATAGGACAAATTTTACAGCAGAATATACTAAAGTATATCCACGTCTAGTAAAGGTGAGGAACAGTGGCAGATCTAGACCAAATGTAACAGGGGGCCAGCGTGTTTTCATGGGGGCCCAGAAAAGCATGAAATAAAAAACAGGGCAAGAGATTCAAATATATTAAGAGAGCTGCATGAAGTGAAATTTATTTTCAATTAGGTTCGATAAAAATTCTATTTCTTATGAGGTCAATATACATTTATAGTTTAGGAATTTTACATATTTTTGATGTAATTTAAGTTAAAAATACCCTTTTCTATAGGGCTGCAACAACGAATCGATAAAATCGATAAAAATCGACTTTTAAAAGCGTTGGCAACGAATTTCATCATCGATTAGTTGTGTCGCGCGATTAATGCGTCATCCGCCGCCGCCGTCATCACATCCACTTGACTGAAGCGGGGGAAGAAGAAAAAATACGGCAGAGCGAGTCAGCGCTGCAGGTGCAGTGTTGCCAACCCAGCGACTATTTTTCAAAAAAGCGACTAGCGACAAATCTGGCGACTTTTTACGGTGTCACTGGCGGCTTTTGGAGACTCTTACGTGAAAGCATGTATCATTCCTACTCTGCCGTGGGGCGCCTCCCCCCGCTCCCTCAGGAGTCCCTCTCAACGCTGCAGTCAGACTGCGTCCAGACTGCAAATGAAGCGCGCATGCTCCGGGATTGACGGCGCAAATTGATCACAATAATTAAAATAGCCTGCGCTTTGTAAAGTGAAAAAAGTCGTAACATGCAACTTTTGTCAAAACAAATTAACATGGCACGGAACCACCATGTTTGTTTGGTTTTAAAGTGGGGAAACGTCACGTTAGTTTCTCAGGTAGCTCATCTGATGCTTTCCTTACCTTGTTAGTAGGTTACAGCGAGTGATAAGGTTGGCTACTTATTTTACTTTTAATTTCATTTGAATTAGCTTAAGCAGCGTTTATATTTACTTTATAAATAAATTAACTTGCAAATTATGAGAGCAAGGCTTTTAAAGTTTAAATCTTCTGGCAAAGATAAAGAAAAGAAGATCCTGCAATTTATGGAAGTAAAGCAGAATAAAATCCAGCAAGATCAGTAATATGTAAATTAATTATATGCCACATTCCCATGTAAATATCTGTCTTTGGAGGATGTGTTTTTTAGCACCCCTAGTTCCCTCATTTTTATTCCAAATACAATTTATAATTTGAATCACAGGGCTATTTTTATCTCTATGGTTAAGTATTTTCTCAAGTAGCAAGTTTAACTGTTATACTTTCCTGTCTTAAAAGGCAGAACTCTTCTAGTCTAAAAAAAAATAATTTGTTGAAATGGGGGGACCTGTTGTTTGAACCCCTTAGGGGCTTTTAAAAAAAACAATGTCTTTTTTTGCACTTTATGAAACAAAGTACCCTATATTTTGTGGATGTACAGCTACATTTCTCATGTAAGTTTGCGTAGTTTTAACACAAACATTTATTTTTCATATTGCACCAGTACAGTTAATGAGCAACCTGTACTTGTCTGCTTGTTTGTTCTGTCTAAAATGTTTATTTTGGAATAAAGAGTATAAAATATAAAAAATATTTTTTGTCCGATTCATCGATTAATCGAAAAAATAATCGGCCGATTAATCGATTTTTTAAATAATCGTTAGTTGCAGCCCTATTTTTCTATAAAATTTGAATTAGAACTCAAGAAAAAGAGTGTAATTCAACTGCAAAAATTTGAGCTTTTTTATGTTGTGAAAGAAAAAAACATTTAGCAGATAAAAACTGGGATCCTATCTCAATACCACTGAAGCTATCACCTGATTGTTTTTGAATAATTAGTGAAACAGAATTTGTAACGAAAAAGAATGAAATACATCCAAAGGACCTATCTGTAACCATGTCTGTTCCAGCGCATATCATCATTAGAATTTCTTTTAAGTATTATGTCTTTAGTACAGGGGCCATAACAGGGGTCAGGACATGATCTACAGGGGCACTGGCCCCCGTTGGCCCCTGTCTAGAACCGCCCATGGTGAAGAATGATGACACCGTGGTGAGGTGCACTGTATGCTGAAGTCCCATGAAAAACAGAAAGCACAACCGATGTTCAAGGCTACAAGATTGAAAGTATTGTCTTATGTATTGTATTATTAAGTATAAGTATTGTTTATTATTATCTAAAAGAGTTTTTGTTTTGGGATGTCTGTGTCAGCAACATTATTTTTCTAGCAAGAAAAGGATCTTGGTGAAGTGTAATTCTAAAAAAAAAAGAAAAAAAGAAAGAAAGAAAAAGAAAAAAAACAGTACCATAATGGATAGTTTAACTAGTATTTAAATGCATTTTGCATTTTTTTTCCCTGTTTAATCATGCTGTCCTCACCTGCAGCCTTCGTCTTCGAATGATGCCAGAGTCATCCATGGCGCGTGCCGCTTCTTAAAGCTATTGGCGGGTCTCGTGGCTCCTAGTTCCAAATGTTGAAAGTATAGGGCCAAATCTCGCGTTATTTCCAGCGAACCAGCGCGGTTCGCGATTTACCATCACAGCAGCAATTTTTATGTGAAAACTAAAGACACTAAGGCCGTGTCATGGGTATTGTTATAATAAAAAAAAGGTGAACGTTAGATGATGATTTGGTTTACAGCCGGAAAAAGACACTCTGGTTCACCATTAAGTGTGGCTCCAGTGTTCCACTCCATGCTGTCATAGAAGAACCACTTTGGTTGGAAGGCTTAAACAGAGGGATGCACTGAAGTCCAGGTGACAGACCGAAGGTTATAACAACAGATAAGATAAAACAGTTTGCAAACGTCTTCACTTCCAGGCACTGAGTGCAACGATCCAAAACAAAAAAAGCAATTCCTTCACATATGTCAGTTGAACATTAAATTCCGCCTCTGTCATCAGGCAGCATGAGAAAAATCTTTTATCTCCGAGATCCTTACATCTGCAAAACACCCGAATTTCTCTTTTAAGCGTCGAAGCACGTCAGGATCAGTTTATCTGTTCATTGCATTTTTAAAGAGGTTTGCCGCACTTTAACCAAACACCTATGGAGCATCCCCATCCTGTCAGCGCATCACCGTCAAACAGGATCCGCAGCGAGAGCAGCCTCCTTAAAGGGCAGCATTCAAGCAGCGGAGGTGGAGACAGAGCGACCGCTTCTCATGTTACTTCCCCTGTGCGCAGATTTTTGCTGTCATCCGTCCGATGCGCGTCTGTTCAGTCTCTCCTCTGGTTTAAATGGGTTCCTGTTTGCCACCTAGACACCGGCTCATAGCCCACCTCCTACAACCACAGGATGTTTCACAGCGACTGGAGATTGTGAAGCAGACCGTGGCAAAGCTGAGGAGGAGCCGATTTCTGGCTCTCATCCTGCTTGAGATGATGAGGTTGTTTAGGAGGGAGGGAGGAATTTGGTGAGTTATAAACAGAGAGGGACACATATGATTCAGGAGGAGATGCTGTAATAATATCTCCTAGTATGGCAAGCCGTTTTAACATAAATTCGGTCTTTTCTCATCGTGTGAGTTTTTCAGATTGAACTAGTTTTATTGGTTTAATTCCCATTTTCTTTGTGTTTTCTGTATGTATTTGAGTTCTTAGGTTTTTCTTTGCTGCCCCCCCCTTTTCCCTGGCTCCTTTCTAGAAGCCTCTGTTCACACCTGCTCCCAATCAGATTGTTAGTCCTGTCTTTGTTCAGTCAACCATAAATACTCTTGCTGTGCAGTTCCCTGGCTTCTAGTGCAGATCTTCCCTGATGTCTCCATGGTTCTGGTTTGTCTTGCATTTTTAGGTTGGATTTTTGGATTCCTGCCTCTTTTACCTGTGAACACTCCATTAAAACTACAAGAAATCACCTCTGCCTCCATGCCTCTGCATTTGGGTCCTCAAAACCACAACCAAAACCTGACACCAGATTTCTAAAAATGTTAAATTTAAGCTTAAAATTGTTTAGTTTTTTTCTAACTTTTATGTACAAATGATTTGTACAGAAACGTATTTCACACACAATAAAATATAAAAACATAAAATGGCACCCCAAACAAACAAATGGTTGTTTGAACAGCACTTCTATGATAGACAAACAGAGAGGTCAAGAAGAGAGAAATAACAATACCAAATTCATCCATAATGAAAATATATTAAATAAATCTAATTAAAAGGAGTAAACAATGAATTTGTCATGATGGGTACTATTTCTAGCCCAAATGCAGAACACCAGGAAACAGAGGAAAAAGTTCAGTTTATTAGAGAAACCACAGGCAAGTATCAGATGCAGGAAACAGATCAGGGGCTGGTCACACAGGGTTTACTGTTCAGTGGTTCAGGCTGAGCGTCAGAAGGTGGGAACCGGTTGGGTCCAGAGACTGAGGGTTCAGCAGAGGGCTTAGCAGCGGCTGAGCTTGGCTTCAGACTAGTGAGGTTCAGACCTTGAGTTGGTCTCCAAGTTCTCTCCAGAGAACTGGCAGGGAGATGCAGGTTGAGGTTCTTCAGGTTTGGCTTCTCAGAGCAGGCAGGCTGGTTTCCAAACATGAGCTCCACCAGAGCTCCAGGTTTCAGTCAGGATCTTCCTAGAAGAACAGAGAGGACAAAACTGATCAGGATCAGGTTCAAGGTTTCAGGAGAGTCAGAGAGTCTGGCAGACAGCTTTACTACCATGACTTATTCAACACTCTGGCACTGAAGAGAAGCCAAGCCGCTGCTTATATAGCTGGTCTCCTGATGAGATGAATCAGCCTCAGGTGTGCAGGTGGCTTCAGCTCAGGAGACCCAGGGCGTCCTCTGCTGGAGAAAGGTGGCAGATCTCCAGATCCCAACAGAATTTTAGGAACCTATCAGAAAAATGATCATATAACCAGCCAATTTTGGAACATACCAAGATATCCTGTCGCTAAGTCATAGGGTGCAGGGCAACAACGTCATGCTAGATTTATGCTGCAGGATTAATGTTAAATGTTCCTCAAAGGTTTCTTACCAATTTTGGTCTCTAAGTAAAGAGTTTTTAACTATAACAAAATATCCAATTTTTTTATCTAATTTCCAGCAATAGCAATATTAGTTTTAGTTTTTTCTTTTTTAACAGCTGTGTGTTTAGATTATTTGTTTGTTTCATAGACCTAACAAATCTCAGAACCTGACAAGATAGACTCAGTCATATTTGTAATGAATGCAGAGATAAATACAACTAGATATCATACAAGATTAGTTTTATTTATTAAAATATAACAAAAGGAAACGTTCTTGGGAATGAATACATCTGACAATGAGAAACAGAATAACAAAAAAATTAGAACAAATGAATAAAAAATACTCACAACATTCAGACTGAATGTATACATAACTGTATAAACAATTATCTTGAATTCATGAGTAATTATTTGGTCTAACTAAAGTTTTAACATGGCTAGTGATACTGTAGCTAGTACTCATTACTTAAAGGGACAGCTGGTTAGATTTAACTCCATCTATTGGTGCACTATGAAGTACAATGGGATGACCTCTGTGAAGAACAACAGCAGCTGATAACTGCTGCATCAGGTCTAACAAACAAACAGAGACAACATAAATACCCCTAATACATCTGCTGAAGAAAATAGTGAAACATTGAAAATATCTCCTTTCGGGTGCACCACCTACTATATTTGTAAAGTACTAATTCTAAGCTGTGAGAATGCTTTTACATTTGATAAAAGAAAATTAGAATTGAACTTTATTGTCATTACACTGTCAAAAGTTCAACGAAATGAACACTGCATTTAACCCATCCCTTTGGGGAGCAGTGGGCTGCCATCGTGGGGCACCCAGGGAGCAGTGTGGGGTTACGGGTCTTGCTCAGGGACCCAGAGCGGCAGTCTGTGGAAGTGGGGCTTGAACTCAGAACCTCTAGGATCCAAGTGCAATGTCCTAACCATTAGGCCACAACTCCACCAAAAGTAAGTTATTGTTATATGTTGGAGTTCACCTCTAGCTTTGACACTCATCAAAACCAAGCAGAGGAACAGACTGAATGTAGAGAACAAAGCCATCTGAGCTCCCTGTGAAAATGTGATGTGATGTCATTACACTGAATATATAATTAATAAACCAAAATGTTATTTCTGCTAATAAAAAGCCACATTTGTTACACACTGTACCTTTAACAGTTGCTTTAATTAGTTATTCTCTAGTGTGAACTAAAGTTGGTCTGTGAAAAATCCTGACTCTCCGCCTTGTCTCTTTTTTGAAATGTTAGTTAGGTAAAGACCCCCAGCAGTGTACCTTGATACTAGTATGCTCTTTATTATTTTCCATCATGTTATTTTTAGGTTTGAGAGTTGAAAAAAAAACCCCACTAACATAACCTTGGACACCCAGTATTGTGCTTTTTTTTTTTTTCTAAAAGCAGACCTGCCATCCCACCTATGGAATTCTCTGAAACATACAGCAGGTAAAATAAGTATTGAATACCTCACCATTTATTTAAGTAAAGTTGCAATTGACATGACGTTTTCACCAGAAACCAGGTGCCCCACACAATATTTCAAAGAGAGGAGTGAAAATAGTCAACAGAAGAGTCAAAGACCACTTGTGGAGAGTTTCAGAAAGACCTGGAATTATAATGTGCAATTGTTTCAAAGAAAACAATAAGTAATGCACTCAACCGCCATGGCCTGTATGCAAGCTCACCACGAAAGACACCATTAGTGAAGCATGTAGAGGCTCTTTAAAGTTAGCTGCACAACATTTAGATAAGCCTATGAAATCCTGGGAGAATATAGTCTGGTCAAATGAGATAAACATTAACCTCTTTGGATGCCATACTACACATCATTTGGAGATCAAATGGCACTGCACATCACCCCAGAAACACCATGCCAATAGTGATGTTTGGAGGTGGGAACATGATGGCAAAGAGTACTGGCAAACTTCTAACAACTGAAGCTAGCATGGATTAAAAAATAAACAGACATTCTTGATAAAAATCTGCTGCCATCTACTAGGATGATGAAGATGAAACATGGGTGGACATTTCAGCAGGATAATGACCCCAAACACAGCCAAGAAAACTCTCAATTGGTTTCAGAAAAAGAAAACAAAGCTGCTAGAAGGGCCCAGCCAATCACCTGACTTGAATCCAGTAGAAAACCTATGGAAAGAACTAAAGATCAAAGTTCATAGAAGAGGCCAAAGAATCCTTCAAGATTTGAAGACTGTTGTTTAAAAGAATGGGCCAAAACATATATGGGCTACAGAAAGGTTTAATGCAATGTATTAATAAATACATTTCAGTAAGTGTGTTTAATAATTTTTCCCTGTAGCATTTATTACAAATAACCTAATTGCTGGACATCTATGGTTTGATTTCTTTGTGTGTGTGGATTGCATGGATTGTTACCAACATCTGGTGAGAATATAATGTCAATAAAACCTCTGGAAATACATTGACTGAGAAAAATGGTGGTATGTTTAATACTTATTTTACCCACTGTAACATTTTCCAGCTTCTCATGCTTTTCTTGCCAGTCCCACATCTCTCTGCATGCCTGGCTGACTTAAAAGACTTTATCAGCTGTACAAAAACAAGTTATGCACTGATTTATGGAACATCTCTTCTTTTCTTGTTTGTCTCATTTTCATATCTCTGACCCATATGATCCTGCTGCGTCTGCAAGCAGATATGGATATAATCAATAATAGGACAAGGCTAGAATCTACTTTTTGAACACCACCGAGACCACACTCAAACATCTATATGGGTAAAGTCCATCACAGTAAACACATAGTGAAGAAGTAAAGGATTTTATTTTAAACACAGGAAAACATTTTTAAAGGAAATAGGGCTCCAGAATCTGGAGACAGAAAATCCACATTGCCTGAAGTTAAGCGTGTCCACAGGCAGTGAATATATTTTGGGGTGGGAATCTGATGTTATTGGTCGACTAGGAACTATTGATGCCAAAATGAGCTCAGCCATCTATCAGGTGCTTTATGCCTTCATCTTTCTACAATAGTTATGGAGATGCTGTTTTCATTTCCTAGAAGGACTGTATTTCCGTCCACACTACCAAAGGTGCCAATATATGTTTTAAATGATCACACTGAGCAGGACTGGCTGATTTAAATCAGATTGAACAGTTAAAGCAACATAAGCTTCCATTACCCCTCAGCTGATCAGCACAGGCTGATCACCTCCATGCCACAAAACATGAATGCAGTAATTCAAGCAAGAAGCACCAGATTCAGTATTTGCAACACATACTGTACATGACATTGAAATGATTCTCAACAGGTTGCGTATCAAAATGTGTTTATTAGATCTTCCTAATTTTATAATCATCTTGAAATGTAAACCAGCCCTCATTGTCGAAATACAGTGGGGAGAACAAGTATTTGATACACTGTTGATTTTTCAG